CCACTGCATACATGTGGGGGGGAACAGCGGGGATCCAGAGGAAAAGCTGCAGGCTGAGCTCTGTGCGTGGCCGAGCGGCGGAGGATCGGTCCATATCAGTGATATGGACTGATCCTCTGTGCAGAGCAAACGCTGGAGCGATCATCTGATCACTCCAGTGTTTGTAAATAACTGGGGACACACAGTTATGAATGAACAGGAAGTGCTTTACATCACTTCCTGTTCATTCATGAGTTTCTCAATGGGGAGTAGCACTCTGCACAGAGGCTTCTCACCATTTAGAGACTGCTTGATAGTAACCATTTTCTGAATGAATGGGAAGCCTCTGTACTTTCCATTCATTTAGAAAAGATGCTGCAGAAAGAGATTGAGGACTCTGTGTCCTCAATGTATTTTTCTATTTTAAAAGGGAAAACTCAGGGTGCTTTTTAGACCCCTGAAATTCCCCCAAAGCCCCCCCCAATAGTAAAAAAAAATTAAAATAAAAATAATTTAAAAAAAACATCCTAGGGGTGGAGACTTTTTTCTTTCTTGCCTCGGGCGCAAAAGGAGCTAGCTACGGCTTTGTTTCCGCACTGCTCGTGCGGCTGCCGGCTGAATGTGTCAGACGCCGCAGAGGGGAAGGAGCGGGACACCTCTCCCCGTGTGCAACGTCGGCCACATTCGGCCACACGAGCACCGCGGGAGGACAGGACGCTGGCGCACAAGAGGAGACCTGGGAAGCTGCTGCAGTGGAGGTAAGAAAAGACAGACAGGGGAGAGACAGAAGAGAAAGTGAGAAAAGAGACAGCAGAGAGAGAGAAGAGACAGTAGATAGAAACAGGGGAAAGAGCGAGGAGAGAGAAGAGACAGCCAAGAGAGAGGGCCGGTTCACACCACAAAGTCTGCTTTCCAGAGTGTTCGGCCTCTAGAACACACTGGAATGCAAGCCAGCCAGCTCCCTGCGATCAGGGGCGGGGGTTGTATTGAAGTCAGTGGCACCGAAGCCGTGCCCCCCGACCACAGTGCGATCACCCGCACCCGGAACGCAGGCACATCAGTGCCTGCGTTCCAGTCCAGTGCGATCTGCACAAATAGTGCTTGCAGCATTTTTGCAGATCGCACTGGACTAACGTGCCTGCTTTCCGGGTGTGGGCTATTGCACTGCGAGCGGGGGCATGGATGCGGTGCCATTGACTTCAATGCACCGCCACGCCCCCTCCTGCCCTGAATGCAGGTGTTTTTTTGTTGGTAGATTAAATTGAGCTCGTCATTTGAAAAGTTGATCTCCAGATGAAAAATGATGAGTACCCCTGCATTAGAGGGTCACATATTAACCTCTCAGTATAAAAAAATCTGAGATATTTATGGCAGTTAGGCTGGCTATACACTGCTCGAATTTAATCAGAGTTGTAAAATTTGACCAGTGTGTGGCCCTGCCAGCACCCCTCTGTTCAACAAAAAAGGATTTTTCAACGGACTTTTGTTGAAGTAGCTGGACCAAAAATGTGTTACATACATAGTAGGAAAGGTTGAATAAAGACAGGTCCATCCAGTTTAACCTAGACAAAGGTCCATCCAGTTCAATGGCCGAACATTGACTGCAGCCAGTCACTGTTCACTTATTCTAACAGCGGAGAGTGCTGGCTGTCAGAATACAATATGCAGCAGGGATCTGTGAACAAGATAAACAAATAGAGGTCTACTTAACAGTTAACAGGACTATTTGCCCTGTGGATATTCGTTCTGTGCAAATGAAGGTAAAAACAAACATTCTTAGTTTATTTTCTTTTTAGATCGAATGTAATGTAATGCCACATTATGGCCACTAGATGGAACTGAGGAGCATAGGAAATAAATATTTTTCTTTCCAGGTCGAATGTAATGTAATACCGCATTATGGCCACTAGATGGAGTTGAGGTGCATAGGAAATAAGTATTTATTTTCTATGCCCCTCAGCACTATCTTGTGGCCATAATGTACTGATATAACAACACACTGCATTCAAACTGTGAACTTCCATGTAGCCGACATAATGTATTATTACAACACTACTTTTGAAAAGGGAAGAAACATATATTTGTTTTTAGTAATATTCAACCACAACGAACTTTCACGAATATTTGCAGGGTTAAGAGTCCAGCGAATTGTTTCCAAATAGACTCCATGGCGTGTGGCCAGCTTTAGTTTGCAGACGGTGTCAAATTCTTGCTGTAGTATGTTGATCATATCAATAATTGTATGTTCAAAGATTATTCTCTTGTGTTCAGATATGAAATTACCTTTCTTGTGTTGTTTTCTGTGCCTGGTATACAGGAGGGTCTGTCTTACTAGAGTGTCACATTGACTCGTTGGTGGTTCAGTCTTATGTCTCATTTCTCCAGTGTTGATCCCTCTTAAGGGGCATTTTGTGCACAATATCACATCTACAACATTTGATAATGCACACGAAATGTATAGTTCAGTGTGTGGTTGACCTATATACTATATGCTATACAGTAGACATGCATTTTCTCATGGTGGTTATTGTGTCTGGTGCACCGATCAAATAGAAATACAGAGCTGACAATGCAAGGAACAACTTATTTCTGTAAAGTGATATTGCTCAGATGATGATCCTCTTTCCAGGCCTAGCCACTGATCCATTATCATAGTGGTTAGTCTCAGTAGCCAGTAGTTGCGGGAAGGGTGGACCAGCCCTCGTATTATCTTTCCAGGCTTGATATTAGCATGTGAGAGCATTAGGTGAGGTTGGGTCAGTTTTTCTGCACTCTGTAAAGTATGTGTAGGACTCAGCAGACAGGAAGACCCTTGGTGCGGAAGGTGAGCTTACATATTTAGGCTAAAATACAAACTAATATCTCCTTTTAATGCATTTTTGGTATTTGGAGAGCAAGTAAAATGATGTGTTTAAATGCATGTCAGCCTGCCTGCAAAATACAGTAAATGGTAAAGGTGTCACTAAGAGGCTGGTGTACCCTGGGGCAGGCAGATGGGGTACCTGTGGACTCCCACTCTCTACCTTTCTGCTTCCTCCCCTAAACCTACCACTACCCCCTCCCTCCTCTCACACAATAATTAATAAAAAATTCCCCCCAATTCATACTGCTGCCACCTCTTCCCTTTCTACTCACTCTAACTTTATTAATGCAACCCCCCAAATTACAGGCCTTTAACTTCTTGGAGGCGCAGTCTTATACCCATTTGCACAACACACACAATTTCCAAAAGAAACAGACAGAAAATGTAATAAAAGCAGACAAAAAGAAGAGGACAAAAGATCACTATTGAGTTTCCTCTCTTGGTGTCAACGTTAACATTTAAATGCTAAGTTTACCTTTCTGACCATGTTTCATGTTACCCTTATTAC